GGCAGGGCAGCTTCCTTCTCCGTTGCCTGCCTGGGAGTGGCGTCCACACCCGCTCCGCCATGACCCTGGCAGTATCTGACCTCAGAAAAGTTTGTGTCTTTATGGCACTTCCACGCCGAGACCCGGCTCCCCCGGAGGTGGCTGCCTCCCCAGGGGCGCGGGGCCTCGCGGAGTCGGTGTTTCCTGGCTCACCGGGCGGAAGGGCCCTCGCAGGGTTCCTGGGGAAGCGCCTCCCGTCTGCTTACTCACCAGAGGCCCCTCGCCCAGAAACACCAGCAGGGCCCTGGGCCGCCCTGCCAGCCTGCCCACCCGATGCCATTTGCAAGGGAGGGACCGCCCTGAATGTGCTGGCAGTGGGCCCTGCTTTTATTAGCTCTCCACCCCCACCCACCCAGATACCCCCGGAGAATCCTCCCACCTGCAGGCCCTGGGAGGCTGCTGGGCGGCTTTCATTTGAGAGGAGCCAGGCTTGGGCACCCACCAGGCTCGGACAGTAGTGACAAGTCCTACCAGCTGACCTTGGGGCCGGAAGTGGTTAATCAGGTTCCCTGAGGCCTGCAGCTCCTGCCAGAGTTAGTCCCTACCCCCTCCCCACAGGCCTTTCAGAGTCCCCGTTGGTTTCCTCCGAACTTCCCTGCTGCTGGTAGGTGGACTGCTGCTTACGTAGACCTGTGTGCCCAGCTGGTTCTCCAGCTGGCCAGGTGTCCCCTTAGAGACCAGAGTCAGAGACCACATGTGGCCAACTCGGACCTGGGGGATCCGCACCCTTCCGCTGCTCTCCCGGGGCTGGCACCCCGGGCAGCCCTGCTTTGGAGAGATGATGATGTTGGGTTCTTTGTCTTTTGCGGTCTGCTCGTTCCTTCTCCGCTAAATGCTGTGGGGTCTTCCTCTTCCAGCCTCTCAGAATACGCATTTGTCGTTCTAGGAGAATGTGTTTACCGGGCAGTCCAAGATCTACACCTACATGAGCCCGAACAAATGCTCTGGAATGCGTTCCCCCCTTCAGGAAGAGAACTCAGTTGCACATCACGAAGTCAAATGCCAGGGGAAGCCATTAGCCGGAATCTACAGGAAACGGGAAGGTAAGCCTGGGAAAACAGCCCTGCTCTGACCACAGCGGCCTGGGCCACAGAAGCCTCTCTCCTCCGTAATTATGCATCTATCTTAGGTTTTTATCCAGCCTTTTCATACCCCAGTGGGAAAGGAGCCACCTTCTGTCTTGCTGCTAAGAAACGCAGACACAGGGAACCGGCGGCCCTTCCCAGGGCGTGTGCCCTGACGGCCTAACAGGTTCTGCTGCTTTCACAAGAGTTGGCGCGTCCTTCGTCCTTCGGGCTTGATTATCTTGCTGGATTGCAAAAATAATGCCCCCGATTTGCAAGGGAAGAGGCTCACAGGTGCCAGATGTGCAGAAATTATGAGTCTGGCTTGTTCAGAGCAGCCGCTTGCAGGCCTGGCTGCTGTGTGAGCACCAGGCCCCGACTTCCTTCCCTTTCACGAGCTGGCCTTGACCTCATTTCTAAAGTTTCTTTCCACTCGAGTGTTCCGACCTCCTCTCTCGCGCAGCAGAGTCTGCAGCGAGTTTAAATACTGAACGAGAAAAGTACACGGTCCGTGAAAGTTTTGTCTGGACCCGCAAAACAAGCCGAAATCCTGCTCGAATCCAAATAGCCGCTGTCCACGTGGCACTGGGGAGTGTGAGAATGCCCCAGTTCACCATGCTCCCTTCTAGTAACAGTCGCCTTAAAACAGCAGAACTCTGACCACCAGCAGCTCCATGGTAACAGAAAGTACCACAAGTGGGGGGGTGAGCCCAGCCTCTGGTGCCAGAGCTGAGAACCAGGGGCAGGAGCCAGCCCGTGTTTGTTTTTTGTTGTTTTTTTTTTAAAATATATTTTTGTTGATTTTAATTGGTGTGGCTCAATGGATAGAGCGTCAGCCTGCAGACTGAAGAGTCGGGGTGACATCAATGATGAGAAAGAACCATTGACTGGCTACCTCCTGCACGCCCCCCACTGGGGGTGGGGCCCACAACTAGGGCATGTGACCCTTGGCTGGTACCTTTTAGTCCACAGGCCGACACTCTATCCACTGAGCCAAACCAGCTAGGGCGCCAGCCCGGTCTTGAGCCATCCCAGTGCACAGGGCCAGGCTATTTCATTGTTCTTCAAATGACCTGGGTTCTAATCCTCACCTGCCACTTATACAGAGGAGGCTTAGGCAAATGGCTCCTCTTTTCTGAGCCTCGGTTCTCCCATCTGTAAAGTGGGAGAGTGGCTACTCTGAAGATCAGTTAAAGCACGGATGCCAAAGGGCCTTGTGAAATGCTCCCTCTGACAGCCCTTCCTCTGCTGGACCTCTCAGTGTCCCAGCCTGCTCCTCTCTGGATAGCCAGCACTTAGGGTAGCAGCGGCCACGGAGGGGTGGGCGGAGGGGCTCTGTCTACATGCGGTCAGCCTGTCTCATGTCCCTTCTGGAATGGGGCACGAGTACATGGTTCTCAGTGGTGACACGCACACAAGCAAGCTTGTGTGGCTCATAGTAATGGCAACGGACAGAATTTGGGGCCAGATATACTTAGGAGGAGACCCCCAAAGCCAGGCTCTTATTCTTGATTTTCAGCCTTTTTTCCGCCTTGATGTGACAGCTGGCGTTCATGGGCTCCCTGCACTCCTGGCCTCATCTCCTCTGGTTCCGCGCAGAAAGGCCATTAAGGGAGCGAGCGCGGCCTGGAGGGGTTTCGATGTGTATATTTTTTCATCACCCCCAAAGAAACCCAGTATTAGTAGTCACACCCCATTCCTCCCTCCTCTAGCCCCAGGCAACTGCCAGTCGACTTCCTGTCTCTGTGGATTTGCTTGTTCTGGACTTTGCCTGTAAATGGACTCATGTAATACGTAGCCTTTTGTGCCTGGCCCCTTTGCCTCAGCATTTTTTTAAGATTCATCCACGTTGTCGAGTGGATCAGTACTTTATTCTTTTATGGGACTAAATAATATTCCCTCATGTGGCTCGACCACATTTTATTTACCATCCGCCAATTGATGGAAGTGTGGGCTATTTCCGTTGTTGGCTATTAGGAATAAACTGCCATAAACATTCCTATACAGGTTTTTATGTAGAAATGTTTTTAATTCTCTTCATAGATGCCTAGGAGTGGAGTTGCTGGGTCAGATGGTAACGCCACGTTTAACTTTTTAAAGAACTGCCATGCTCTTACGCACCATTTTACATTCCTACCACCCACGTATTATTTACTTAAAAAAAAAAGTTATTTATTTTATTGTTGAGAGTATTACAGATGTCCCCCTTTATTTTTTAAATATTTTCACTTATTTATTTACTTTTATATATTTTTATTGATTTCAGAGAGGAAGCAAGAGAGAGAGAGAGATAGAAACATCAATGATGAGAGAATCATTGATCGGCTGCTTCCTGCATGCCCCACACTGGGGATCGAGCCCACAACCCGGGCATGTGCCCAACCAGTATCTAACTGTGACTTCCTGGTTTATAGGTCGATGCTCAACCTCTGAGCCATGCTGGCCTTTATAACTTACTGATTTTAGAGAGAGGAGGGGGGAGAGAGAGAGAGAGAGAAAGAGAAATATCTACTTGTTCTTCCACTTATTTATGCATTCATTGGTTGATTCTTATGTGTGTTCTGATTGGCAATCAAACCTGCACCCTTTACATATCAGGACAACACTCTAACCAACTGAGCTACCCAGCCAGGGCAGTCAATTATAGCTCAATAAAGCTGAGAAAAGTGCAGACGACCAAAAGCTCTGCCCAGTGTTTCTGTCAAACAGTAAAGCCATTCATGGACAGCGGGCTTAACAGGCAAGGACACACACCCATGACCCCCGCTTTCTCAAAGCCTGTCTTAGAATGCAGCTGAAGGTCTGACGGGGCGTCTAGAATAAACCTCTCTCTCTCCCCTCGGCCTGCAGAGAAAAGGAACGCTGGGAACGCAATACGAAGCACCATGAAGTCCGAGGAACTAAAGATCAAAGACGCCAGGAGAGGTCCCCTGGCACCATTTCCAAACCAAAAATCCGAAGTAGCAGAACCTCCAAAAACTCCGACCTCGTCTTGTGATTCCTCCGGTGCAGCCATCGCCAAGCAAGCCCTGAAGAAGCCCGTCAAGGGCAAGCAGGCGCCTCGGAAAAAGTAAGCACCTCCCAGAGCGAATGCCCGCCCCGCTGTGTGCGGCAGTTTGGTTTCTCTGGCCTCGGGGAGCTGGTTACCTGGTTACGGGTGAGCAGGCCTCCCTCCCGGCTTCCCTCACTGAGGCTCACGTCAGCCTCTCTCCCGCTGAGGCCACACCCCTGGAGTCACCCCCCAGGGACCCCATCCTTTTGCCAGCATCTCGGTCTGCCATATGTCCAGAGCTCAGGGGCCCTCCCCTCCCCTCCCCCACGTGGCGCCCCCCCTCACCTCTCCAACCCCCTCGCAGAGAACAGCCTGCTTCTGATTCTCTCTCTGAGGCCCCCAGGGGCAGCTGAGCCTATAACCACGGGCTGCGGTGCACACAGGTGTTTAAGCGACCTGGTTTCCCGGGAGCTGCCCCTCAGGAGTTGTGTGCCCCCCTGGGTGCCAGCGTGGTTTTCTCTTCTCCCCCTCCCCCCCACCAGAGCTCAAGGAAAAACGCAACAGAATCGCAAACTCACAGATTTCTACCCTGTGCGGAGGAGCTCCAGGAAGAGCAAGACCGAGCTGCAGGTAGAGTCCTGTGGTTTTAATTCCAGCTGGGGGGGGGG